ACACACACACACACACACACACACACACACACACACAATCACATATTTAGGAAAAAATCAAATCTTATAAGAATCTTGAACCCTCTTGTGGTTTTCTTTGTTTGAAAGCCTACAGTAGTTTGAAAACTTCTGTTGGTTAATATTAGGATTTTTTTGATAACAATCCTAAATCAATGTGGAAAATGTAAAAAGTCATTATCTTAGTTTGACTGTGTTGTGGTGTTTATGTGTGTCCAGCTCCCAGCATCGTGTCCTGATCCCAGCCCTCTGGAACACTGACGTTCAGGAGTGGGAAATCAACTGCATGAACCGCCTAGTCTTGGAGGAGGCCAGTGGCGGACAGGATGAAGGTAAACACATACCCACAATCCCACCATTTAGCATCCGAGCACGCAAGTACATCTTACAACATTCAGTCGATTACAACAATGAATACGCTTGTTCTCCCATCCAAACCTGTGCAGACATCCAGCCCCCCTTACATAAGACCCCCTCCTTTATCCCGGTTGTTTGTTTAGTGTACATATGAGCCCACCTTCTGTACAGTATGTTGTCCCATGTGCCTCAGCAGTCTACTGTGCTGTAAGCAAGACGCTGAGTTCAGGACTAAGGGTCAAGTGTAATGGGCTGACAGAGACACTAGATAGCGACAGACTGATGACTCAATCTCTTCGGTCATCAGCGTCTGTTCGGGGATCAATAACAGGGATGCTTTTGACTGGATGAGACCGTAAGTGCTGGCTTTTAGGGAACAAAATGTCAGCTGCATCTCATGTTAGACCCAGGGGAAGCCTCCATGCCTGGGTGTACAAACGCACTCTTAAGTGTGCTCAGGCTGGATGCTATCTTTCAGTTCAGTAACAACAGGCTCAAGCGAACAGACCTTGTGTACTAATGCAGGTTTAATTTTTTTCACACAATAATGGTATATAAAGTATTAAATATATTTATATACATAAAGTTAATTATATAAGTTTACAATGTCTCATTGTTCTACCCAGTATTGGAGTACTGTTATATGCTGAATTATTATGTGTTATATGCAGGAGTCTATAAACTTGAATACCTACCTGAAAAACTATGTGAAAGTGCATCTGGGGGAAAAGGTGCTTTAAACGCAAAGGATGGTCACACCAAATGTTGATTTAATTTAGTTAATAGAAGTTAACTGATAAAGAAAATCTATTTATGACATTATTTTTGACAGCATCCTCATTTTACAGCATTTTTACAATCCATTAAGATTATTTTGAGTAAAAATGAAATTGGCAAGACGAAAACCACTATTTTCTGTTTCAAACTTTCACAAAGCATATTTAGGTTATAATAACATAAAAAATTCAAATCCAGATTTTGATTTTCAAAGATTTATTATAAAATGTTAT